TCTTATAATTATTTCCCATATGAAACATATCTCTTTCAGGATATATATTCAACCAATTATAAGAAATGATTCGTAATTCATAATAATCTCTTACATATAGACAGAGAAAGCTTTTTACCGTTCTCAACTTTACTTCAGAAATGTTTACATTTGGTCTGAGGTTTCCACATGGGGTTGATGTTAGCATAAACACATGCCTCACGGGAGAGACACAAAGTGATTGCAAATACAGTTCCAAAAATGGCTTTGTGAACTCCTCTGGCCAAAAGAGCAGAGACAGGATGAGTGGCTGCAACTCTGCTGGAGCCAAATCTGCATTGTTGAAGGAAAGCCTCGAATTACAGGTCTCCCCTTTGATGACTTTATGATAAAGAATAACTTGTGGTGAAAACAGGGAGCTGTTTATATCCCCGCAATACAGAGAATGTGATGTGTTAGTACCCCTGCACACATTGGATAGGCGCAAGGGGGAAGTGAATCTAACACTGGCATGGGCAACTGCATGCTGACAAGCCTTCTTCAATGGAGCTTTCAAAGCCATCCTTTGTTTTTGAGGTACCCTTTGAGCAAAAATGAACAAAATCACTAGATATATTGTTTCTAAAAAAAGATATGTCAACAACACAATCTGACATGCACCGTCAATGCATGTTTCCTATGTGTCAACGGAGGTAGGATATATATTTATTCTTAAAGTAAGGAGAAGTGAAACTTGATCATAAAAGCACTTCTGAAGCATTTCCTAAATTAACTGCATGGGATATTTTAGTATTTATACAAATAAGCATGCATAACTTTTGTCATAAACAATGTTGGCCTAAGGAGTCAGTTTCCATGCTGAGGTCAGAATGAAATCCATTTTAATGCAAACCCTTTAATTTGAGTCTAACATCAACACCAAACATGGCAGCCCATGATACTAGTCTTATGACGTGACACCTAATAATATTGTGAAGTCAGGTGACTTATGAACAATGTAGATTGCTCAGCAAAAGTCCAAAATACAGTGAAGCCTAAATTAGAAAATAATTAATTCTTTTATTTTATTATTTAAAGGGGACTAAGAAATCAAAATTCCATTGATCTTTTGACATATAAGAGGTCATTGTACTATAAAAACATTCTGTAAGTTTCAAAACTTTCTCGTTAGTCTAAAAACAGCTTATACTGAAACCAATCTGCCAAAACGACAGGTTTTGGAATGTGACACTTTATGATGTAATATGTGGCTAAACACCACATCCGAAGTAGATCAACGCCTGCTTCTGCATCACTGCTTGTTTAGCCCCGCCCACCGATTCACACATGTAGTGTAGATAACAAGAGAGACAAATGCAGGTCTACGCAGAAACCAAACGATAAACTTTATTTGATGAACTTTATATTTAATGAAGTGCCAGACCACGTCAGTAAGAACTTGGTCCTCTGTTTACTTCATTTTTACTGTGGATTCATTTAAAAACAAGGCACAATTCAACGCAAGATTATCAGAACGATTGAAACTAGAAGACAATGCTGTGCCAACTATATTGGATCCGATGTCGCACCACTCAAGTGTAACTGTTTTCATTATGTGATCACTTTTGCTTTGTCTATTATTACAGATCGTTTGATATGTACTGAGTATTTATGCATTTTTAACCTAAATCACAGCAGCATCCATCTATGATGGATGTAGGCTGTCAAAAATACACAACTGTTAGCCAATCATAGCAGTGGGCATTTACTTTCGAGTCTTCAATCCGCCACACCTATTCAAACAGAGCGTTCTGATGAGAGGGGTTAAAACCAGGACAGAAAATAGCCAATGACTTCTAAATTACGTTTTTTTTGGTGTAAAAATCTTGATAACATTATAAGTGGACCTCAGATAACAGTACAATTAACCGTAAATTCATTTTTTAAACTGAATCTACTGGAAAGCTCTAGAAAATTATGTTCTAAGATTTTAAAAATCACAATACTGTCACATCAAAGTGACTATAAATAATGTTCAATAATTCTACATGAAATGGAAACACTATCATAGTAATTGCAGTTACTGTTCAGAGTAAACTAAATCATCCACAGAATTGTTGAAATCTCCCCAGGAATAAAGACTTTACTGTCAAAAGTTTGGTGGGCTCCAGTGTACATAAACTCCTGTAGATGGTCTCAGCTTATACAATATGCTAGTTATTGACATCAGTGCTTCTATTCTGAGTGCTCTAACAATCACAGGTCAGAAAACAGGTGAGGAAAATGAGATGATTTCATATCTCTGTAACAGTTTATTATGAGTCTTAAGTATGCATATAGTATGCTTTTCCTGAAATCTAGATGTTAATAATGAGATCACGAGTTGTGTGCCTTATATCGCTCTAAGTGCTTTGTCAAGTCCTCGATGCGTAGATCTTTAAGATTCACAAGATGCTCCAATCGGTCTACCTTAATCTGTAAAATCTGGAGCAAAGAAAAAAATTTAATGTACATGAAATTCAACAGCGGTTGTAGGTTTATGATATAATGCCTGCAAACCAAAGGCTTTACAGCGTCACAAAAGAAAAAACGGAAGTTTACTGTCACAATCATTCTGTAGAATTGTCATTTCCTTCCATAGAAATTTTGATGACTATTCGATGCATAAATTGATAATTTTTTCCATAAAACAGAGCAGTTACTGAATATCTTTTTTAAATTGAAATGCAAACAGTTGAAATTATTAATATTCAAGCATTTAAATGTGTTGCTGCAACCTTAAACTCTTACTAACTGTCAAGTGACAAATATCACAGCTGCTGAACTCATGACTCATTTAACAATCTTGCAATTTCTTTTTAACCACATTTGCAACATTGACAGGAAGCATGTCAAAGAACTTGTGATCTGCAGCCCTTGACCACTTGCCAGGAGAACAGCACAGGAAAGACAAATTTCCTTTTCCATTGTATGCAAAAAGTGCTGAAACGTGTTATTAGTTTTTGCGATTTGCAAGTCATAAGATTTAACATTTTTAAAGAATATCTGCCTTTTTCAAAGATCTTATGCAAGAAATAAAGATTTCAAATGAATTTATACTAATTCTTATGTACATTACAGTCACAATGAAACAGATCTTTTCTTCTGTATTGTGATGCAAGTCTTTGTCATTGTGATGACATGCAAGTCTAACGCACTGTAAGAAAGAAAATGTAGGATGGGGACATGGTACTATTCATAAGTTGTAGATGTAGATGAATGCAAGCTTGCAGGGGATTTAAGTGGACTAAATGATTGGAGAAACCCAGCATACATCAGGAGAGAGAGGTCTGTCATTTCACAAAAACATTGAATGATGATATTTTTATTTTACTATAAAATGATTATTGTATTATTATAAAATAATACAAAATAACATGCATTGATATATTTTTCACAATAACATCAATAACATGCATTTAGAAAACAGATTTAATTTCATGCCAAATTTAAAGGTGCAGTGTTTCGAAATTGCAAAAAAAAAAGAAGACTTTGAATACAGTTTGCATTGCAATGCTGAAAACACCAGATAGCAACAGTGCTTACACTTTTCTGGGAACTCAACCAATAAACTTGTCTCTGCATATTAAACTGGAAAAGGAGAAAGCATTTTAACATCAAAACCTTACCTCTACAGTCTCCTGTAAAGCCAAAATGGCTTGCTCCTTTTCCTCCAAGAGCAAACGGACACCTGGATCCACATTTGGTCTCAAGGCTGCAGCAGCACTACACAAGATTTCCAATAAGTCCATTATAAATGTGTATCTTTAGGCCTACATGAAAGACTTCATGAACCTCAGAAAGTCCTTTTCACATCACAGTTTATCACTCATACCTTACTTTGTCTTTCTTCTTCACAGTGGCTGGATTGGTATGAGGGGCTTCAGAGAAAACAGAGAAAGGGATTAAGAAATTTTTTTTTTCTTCCAAAAATAAACATCTTTCTTTTAAACATTTTATATTTAACAAAGGGAAATGTGTTGTAAAAATGTGTCTTCGGCGATAGCCTAAAACTGAAGTGCCGGGTCTTGGCATAGACAGCGGATTCAGGATCCCTTCAGGCTAAATTCAGGCACTGAGACTTTACTCTCACGATACCCTGAATCAATTTCCTCTAGCTGAGTGGTACTCCCCCATACTTTAAGATTTTTAAGCTCATGAGAACTGCTTAACCAGGAAGGCTAAACTAATTAGACTCCATTTGAACCCATTAAACACAATAAGGTCAAAAAGACACATTGACAGGGCACCAGACTATAACTATGGAGCGGGAGAGTTTTATTTGGCTCTAAGCTCTGAATCATCAACACCAGCTGTGCTTCACCTTATAAACATCCCATTAAAGATAAAATAACAAGTTAAAATTGAACAGCATCTACAGGAAAAAGAAAAGTAAAAAGCACAGGACTCCTGTTTCTTTAATAGAAATGGTCTGCACTTCGATAATATGATATATCAGAAACAATCTCTCTGGTCTCATAATAGACTCAATAATCTACTGTTTGCTTGAGTTTTCTGTGGACGAAAAGGGCTTTTAGCCACATGCTTTGAGCCTGCTGGAAGTGATAAGGGCTATCTAGTGAATGGAGCTGATGGACGCAGGACCTTTTCTATCATGAAAAGAGGGAGTTGGACCTGAAACCAGATGATGTCTCGACTAAGACGCCATGATGATGAGGTGTGGGAAATGGAGAGTTGACCTATCTGGCCCCTTCTATGTAATGTTAAGAGTGCTGATAATGCAGTTCATTTGCCCTATTTCCAAACACAGCTGACCATTTTGTTAGTCCATTTTAATATACATAGAGGAAAAGTAAATGTGACCAACTTTTTCCAAAAGCTTTTTATTTTGCTGCGGATTATTAAACCTTTACGCTGCCTCAGAAGGTACCTTTATTCGCAAACATTGCCTGCAAAGTCATTGCCTTATAGGGCAGCAAGGTAAAAAGTCAGCTGCCTAAGCTTTTGGACGAAGCCATACAATGAAATTTAGTGCAGTCCAGTGGGGTTTTGTTTACTGTATGGGCAAAAGCAGTTTCTTTAAAATATCTTCTTAGGTGTCCCACAGAAGAAATAAACTAATACAGAATGAAAGTGTGTAAATGATGACAGTAATGTTGTTTTTGGGTGAACTAACCAGAAGGTCTGAGCACACAAAGGCAGCCTCACAGACACATGACATGACCATCACAAAACACGCATCTTCGTACTTGCGACACTTACAGTAACTTGCTAATCTTGTTTGGTTTACAGTTAGGCAAGGGCTGTGTTTTCTGAATATTGTAACAGTCAGACTATTTATGACCACAAACCTAGGCCTGCACGATTAATCGTTTGTAAACCGAAATCGCGATTTGAAAGGGTGCGATTTTCAAATCGCAAGAGCTGCGATTATTTCGATGAAGGACTATCAAATATGTAACAACATATGAAACATAGGCGATGTCCAGTTTTCCCGTCTCAACTCATTATACCTAATGCGGTCACGCCCACGAGCCGATCGCGCTTTTCAGATTCTAAACATCCACGTGAGACGCGCGCGCATGTAAACGCCCACATCGCCTCCGCGTAAACAAACGTGAAGAGGTCATCCCGGCTACTTTTTGTTTCTGGAAGAAGACACGCTGAGAGAAATAACCCAGAATTTACCTCACAACGCAATGCGTCGCGCAGCTAGATCCAGTGGAGAATATCACTCTGATGAGTAGCCTAAGATTACTTGCATCTGTTGTTATTGTTATTGTGACATAACTTGTACACATTTTACTAGTTAGACTTTTCTAATTCCTGACTACATGTTTGAAATCAAGTGAAACATTTTGAAATATGTGATATTTCATTGTCTAAATGTCTCACAACGCCAGGATGTTTGTTTAATGTTTTAACATAAAACCACAAGATATAAAAGTAGTGCGAGTGTTAACACTATCTCTCAGGTGTGAATCACTAAATATTCATGGCCATTGTCACTCCCTCGCATAAGGGCATTCTATCACAAAACATGTTTTACAAATGTTAAATCAATATATTGTTTTCTGTAAATAAGTGAACAGGATAATTTTCACATCATTTTGTAGCAAAAACTCTAGTCTACCACATTCTCAAAAGTCTTGTGAACAAACGTTCTGTATGTGTTTTATGGCCTTATTTCAGTGACTTAAAAAAAAAAAGTTTTTCACTAACCATGCATAAACATTGTTTTCTCAAAAACACAAACATGTACTTTCATGCTGCTCACAAATTATCGTAGCCCAGTTTGTGCTGAATACAGTGTTATCAGACTTTAGCCATTAACATTTTTTTAAGATACTGAAAAAAAAA